TTTAAGGATTCACCTAGTGTTGTTAAACGGCTCGTTTTGAGCCGATATTTAAAAACGGCTAACTCAATATTTCAGCCAGAAAAAATATTGCCTGAGTCTCGAGATTTGACTAATAGATGCCCAAACCTCTGTTTTTTCTACAAACAAAATCTTCAGGCTTGCGCAATAGTATTCTGGATGAAATATTGAGTTAGCCGTTTTTAAAAATCGGCTCAAATTGAGCCGTTTAACAACACTAGATTCACCCAACTGAAGATACAAAGTGGTATCGTATCGGGATGACCATGCACTTGAAAACTTATAAAGGTAATTAATTTATTTACTTATAAGATTACCTAAGCGTGTAATAAATGCAAAATAATATTTAAAAAAAAAATTATATAACTTTTGCATTTTTATAATTATAAAATGGCGGTTAATCTATCCGTTCTATTAATGACTTGTCTGCCGCTCAGGGGGGGGGTGTTAGAAATATGGACAATAAGGATTGAGATGTAATCCAGTTACGATCTCTAGCTGGGACTATTCTTTAATCATCCTAAAACTAACCTTGTGCCCGAGATTGGGTTAAAGTCCGCCAGATATGGGGTGGGGACAAAAAAAAATCGTTTAAAAGGCTGAAAGGTACTTCTGCTGGTCCAGAGATATATGTAAAGAATAAAACTACATGATCCAGTCTATCACTGCATATTTCCTAAAATTATAGATCCGGGTTCGAATCTGGGAATGACCATGTCTTTTTTTTCCGAAGTCAACTAGGTTGTCCTAACCCAAGAGGTATATATCGGAAGAGATCGAGCCTTTATTTTTTTTTCTTAGATAATAATAAAACGAACGAGGTTAAAAAGGATCTAAAAATATTTTTGTATCGTTAAATTTGATATGAGGAAAATATACTTTATCTTGAAATCTAATCTAAAGTGATGGGGTAGGTATACAATGATTATAGTTCGATACAATCGCTTCGATCGTATGAACCAATGACATATATAATACCTAGACTGACGATTCATTTATTAAGAGTGTGTACATCAATGCAAATCAGCTGGAGACGCCATCTTGGTTACACTAATCATTATTTCATAAACGAGAGCCTAATTTATTCCTATATTTGATGCAAACTTTATTAAATAATTACCGGTTCATCGAGATAATAAGGAAGCAAGCTATCAATTTAATAGTAGTTTTTAACATGAGAATAATTACTATATATGTGTTACCAAAATGGCGGGTCCAGCTGATTTGCTTTTAACGACTTAAAAATGCATGAATCTCACCGAAGGCAAATATTTTTATTGCCCAAAAATTTCTGTTTTTTTGAAATGAATAAAATGAGGAGTAATTTTATCACCAAAAAAAATTTCTTTTTTTGGGAGGGGAGCAGTTTCCTACTGAACGGCAAGAAAAAAATATTATTAATTTATAATGACTTAAATATTTTTTTGTAGAATAAGAAAATATAATATTTAATCCGTAAAAAGTTTACACATTTAAAAAAAAAATTTAAAAGGCTTAATTTCTAGATTATCCACCAAAAGCATTAACTGTCTATTATAAACAGCTGAATCGGGTATAACTAATTAAATAATGACTATTATTATTAACTAATTAAATTACATTAACCCTATCCATATATCCCCCCCCCCCCCCTTTTAACTTTAACCTTATCGAACCTCGTCCAGAAGAAGAATTTTAAAAATAGAAATATCTCATTGAATAAAATACGCCTCCTTGCGAAATAAATATTATCTATTTATTATTTTATTTTTTTTGATATTTTGATGAATATAATCATTATTAAGATTTTAAGTATTATTATTAACGTATATTATTTTTAATATGTTTTAAGATATTATAATATAAAATAATCAAAATTAAAATTATAAAAAATATAACTTTTTAATAAAATCTTTATTAAACACAATGAAAAATAAAATATATATTAAAAAAAAATGTTAAAATAAAATATTATTCCTAATATCTCAAATCAACATTATCAATCGCATGGTAATAATAAAAATCATGATATTCAATTTTTTTGATAAAATATTTATTAAACACGAGGAAAAATAAAATATATATATAAAAAAATGTTTTAATAAAATAATTATTCCAAATATCTCAAATCAACACCATCAATCGCTTTATAATAATAAAAATCAAAATATTCAATAATATCTGGCATGAAATTATATAAAATGAATGAATGCTCTCCATTTTCCACTTTCTCCTTTCTATTCGACATCCCATATATATATCATCATACATAACTATTTTATTATTAAATGTGTTAATAATCAAAGACCACTATATTAGTAATTTGGTAGTGGTGGTAGTTTTCTGTATATTTATTCATTAATTTGACAACAGAATGTAAGAAGTGGATGAATGTACATTGTATAATGCATTATAAGAATTTACATCATCAAAGCGTCAAAAAAAATGAGTATATAAAAAAGGATCTAAAAAATAAATTTTTTTTTACAAAAATGTTTTATGAACTCTTAAACTTAATTTAAAGATTTTCCACATATTTTTTTATATAAATTATAAATGATTCAAAAATTAAATTATCTACAATTCATATGGAAGGTATTCCAAACATGATGGAATACATTTCCGGTATAATCAGATTTTTAAATTTAAAAAAAAACGCGCTCAAAAAATGATTACAAATTGTAAATATAACCATTGCCGTAAAAAAAAGACATTGACGCTAACATATATATATATATCTTTATTAATCGATACTAATCAATCATCAAGTTAGGTAAAATGCTTCTTTTAAGATAAAATATAAACAAAACTAAAATAATTTAAGTCATAGTAAGGTATAAAACTAAATAATAATGTGAAAATTATATTTTTTTTATTTTCAATAAGTATATTTTTGTTTTTCAACAAAATCGATTATTACTAATTCAAATAGATAATTATAAAATAACGCGAAATTTAAAAAGTTATTAAATAAGTTGAATAAAACCAGATGAATAAAAAATTACGCGAGTTTAAAAGGAAGACTTAAATCATTTAAAATTTTTAATGTAAATAATTCAAAATATTACCAAATATTTTATCAATTTTACAGTTTAAGAATAGTTTTTTAGGTGAAAATATTTCCTAAAACAATCTAAAGGAAAATGTGAGTTAAGGGAAGGAGCGTACCAGGGATGTGGGGTGGGGGGGGGGCAGGAAATGAAATTTTCTCCTCCAAAGTTAATTTTTATATATATGATATTCATGAATTATGAATCGAGTAGTACTTTATTTCAAATAGGTTATATAGATTTTATTTTAAATTTAAAAAAATAAAAATTAATTTAAACCTATTTTCCTTGCGTATTAATATTTTATTCTACAAAAATTTAGAGATTATCTAACATTTTTTATATACCTTAAACATTGATGTATCATGGATATAATATATGATCAACCATAATATTTTAATTTATCTCTACTAATAACTAGGATTATGCAAAATTTTTAGAGTGCATGGAATGTATAGATACCCAAAGTAACAAAATCTGCTGAATAGAATGATTTTAAAGATTTATTGTGCCACAAGGCAGACAAGATACAGCCTCGACATCAAGCTGTTGCAGCTTTTTTGGATGTAGAATTCAATTTTAAGTGCTCTCGGTAAATATCAGAATTGTCTGAAGCGGATATTTCATATGAAGTGGATACATTCTTGGATTTAATAGGGCAGACGATTTATGGTTGAAAAATATAAAAAAATTTTAATATACAATTTTATGCAAATCTTTTTTCAAAAAATAATATGGAATTGGCTGAAGTTATGAGAATTGCAATTATTATTATATTATAATTAAAAAAGACTTGAACCATTCGAACCAAATATATATCAAGAAAATCAGTTTAATTAAAAAAACCATTCGAACCAAATATATATCAAAAACATCAGTTTATTACAATCATAATTAAAAAAAATATATAACATATTTACTCACCAACCTCTTCAACTGAAGGTCGCTTCCTAAAAAAAAAACTTTTTCTTTGTTCCAATCAAAAATACATAATCCTTCCACTAAAAAAAACTAAAACTAAGACCACTTTTGATTGACATTGCATATAACATTATATATATATATAAATATATAACAAAAATACAAAACTACAACAATAACCATATTGATAGTTAACCTGAATTCATAGCGGTTCTATTGGATTGCGATTTAGACATACATAGAGTAAATATCATATCACATTCATAGTTACGGATCGCGCGATTTGAATCGCGAAAGCAAATCGCTACGATTTTTTGAAAACACAAATCATTTTGTTAAGAGAAAAATGAATAAAGTGGTAAGGTATGGAAAGAGATAGGGAGATTTTATTTTAAATGTTTTAATTTAATTCTAAAGAGCATCTTAAAAGATTTTTTATTATTGTTTAATTTTATAAATTGTTTCCAATTCATATTCAAATTTGTAACATCTTTCAATACTTGGTGAAATCATGATCTTCTACTTGCTATACCCCTTACCATTAAAAGAAAAGATAAAAAGCCATGTTCAAGCGTCTTGGATTAAATTGCAATTGGAGTTTCTTAATATACGATCTAGGAATTGTATCTGTTTCTTCTTCAGTGTATTATGAATTGGAATATGCTTTGACAGCTTCCATAGTTTATCCTTAGAGATTAACCTTGTGTAGAAAACACCATTACTAATTCATGGGCACTTATTAATAAATGTCTGAAGTTATATATCGTCAGCCTTGCAATTCCCAAGTTTCACATAGGTATGACAGTGGAATTAAAGATGCGTAGGTTTGTGGCTAGTATCTCCCTTGTCTTCCAAAGTTTGAAATACCTATAAAAGGCTATCCTAGCATTCTATATTTTTATTTTTCCTCCTTGCAGCTACCTCTATTGTCCAGATTATTTCCGATATGTTAAATTTGTAGATATTGATTAGTTTCCCAAATGGCGCCTATTTGAAATTCGATAGTAAGCATAATTCATAAGAAACATATGTTAATTTTTACTCAAACTTGGATATGTTTGAAAATTTCAATTTAACATCAAAACATGCCTTAGAAATTTTATTAAAAGAGATTGCAAACTATGCTAAAGATGCGAAATTTAGCGCTCAGACGAAGACCTTCTATTGTATTTTATAAAATATTTTTTCCATATATATTCATTTTGTTTATATTTATTAAGCTCTGTGTTTTAAAGAAATTCTTACAAATAGGAGAACATCTTACACAAACCTATTGAATATTATAGTAATATTGATTCTATCCTTAATATCCTATCTTTCTTTTATATTTAATGAAGAGCCTTATCGGTAAAATCAATATATTTCTATTCCATTAATCATTTTATAATAGATCACAGAGCTTAGTTATGGCGTTTTTTTTGCTTTTACACTTTTTCCTTAATACTACCTTAGTTATATATACTTGGAATGCAAAAAATAATGAAATATTTAATAAGTTATTAATGACTGTGAACCAATATAAAACAAGTTTATGATAATTGAATTTTATTAATCATAATAAATTTATAGAAAAAATAGATTTCTCTTCGATTGATTTATTTTTACCATCATCTCCTTCTTTATCTTATATTTCCACTTATAGGGATAAAAAATTTATAACCTTACCACAAATCTTATTGGTAAAAGGGGATATAATTATTTTACAGGAAGGTTCAACATCACCTGCATTGTGTCACAAAGTTTATAATATTTTATTTCCTTGGCTTTTTATTATATTGCAGATCAATGATAAAGATTTTACACTTTGTTATGGTGAAATATATAAAAAGGCTTTGAAAGACAATGATGAAAACTTGTCAGAATTAAGCCATAGCAACCATTTTTTGTTTTGCCATGACATTCCACACCACCAATATTTTATCATTCAAGAAACTCCCAGTGTCCATCATTATATTAAGTATTCCAATAAATTTTAAACCTAATAATTTCCATAAATAATAATGCAAAATCTGTGATTTCACTTTTAGGGGGGCAGGGGGGGGGAATTATAAAAAGAATTCTCAAAGATGTACTATTAAATAAGTCATTATATCAAACAGGTATGAAAAGTTTATTGATTGTTAGTGGTTAAAGCCAGTTGTTTTGAGTTATAAAAAATCATTTAATAATAAATAAATTAATATTTGAAAATAACTCAGGGAAATCCTTAGCCCAACCTCATCTTACAGACCCCCCATGCCCTACATGGAACGCAACAAAAATTTAACCCTCTCCATCTTCACCTGGATAATCTTCCCTACTTTCTTAGTGGCCAGTTCTGCTATCGTTTTTGCCAAACTCTTAGCCTCAGGCAATTCCCAAAAATTTCGTGTTTGGAATTTGGTGTTAGAACCTATTTTAATTGTTGTTCCCAGCTTGTTCGTGTCCCTCGATTGGTTCTGGTTGCTGGCTAATGCTGTTGGCAATGCTTATCTCAATGGTATTGTCAATTATATTATATAAATTTATAGGCAAGCAATTCATTCAGTTAAATGTCAATCAATAAAAAATCAGCTGTTGGCTCACCATTTTGGTTTCCCATATGAACAATTTAATTTAAAAATAGTTTTAAAATTATATGGTAAAGCAAATTCGTGTGTCACCAGGTGATTTGTATTGAAGCTTCAAAATGCATTTCAATGAATGAATGTAAATCTCGGTAAATATTATATGTGACTATGTATTTTATATATTTTGTCTAGGTTATATAATTGATTATTTATTGCATTCTTTTGGAAATCTAACAGAAAGCTTTTAATGGCCTTAAATAAATATGTAAAAATTAAATTATATAAAGAAAGAAAAATAATGAGAAGATAAAAATCACTATTTATTCCTTTATTTAGTGATGGATGAATAAGGCTGCATTCATAGTGGAGAATCCGTTTTTATATCCGTTCCGTCAAAAGTCAAACTCATTAAAAATGTTATAAATGTTCATAGACTATAAAAAAAATTGTAAGTAACGTTATAAGGCTCTATAAGATTTGCCGGATCCGTTTTTAAGACGGAAGGTATCGGAACGGACGCACTATGAACATATATATCATTTTTAATGAGATTGACTTTTGACGTCATTTTTAATGAGATTGACCTTTGACGTCATTTTTAATGAGATTGACCTTTGATGGAAAGGATGTAAAAATCGTATCCGTTTTTAAGACGGAAGGTATCGGAACGGACGCACTATGAACATATATATCATTTTTAATGAGATTGACTTTTGACGTCATTTTTAATGAGATTGACCTTTGACGTCATTTTTAATGAGATTGACCTTTGACGTCATTTTTAATGAGATTGACCTTTGATGGAAAGGATGTAAAAATCGTATCCGTTTTTAAGACGGAAGGTATCGGAACGGACGCACTATGAACATATATATCATTTTTAATGAGATTGACTTTTGACGGAACGGATGTAAAAATCGGATCCGTCTCCACTATGAATGCAGCCTAAAATATTTCTCTATATTATAAGGTGTGAATCACAAATTTTACTCCTATTTCGACAATGAGAAGTGATTCCAAAATTTTTCCATTATTTTTATGAGATATGTTTAATTATGATATATATAACCTACATCATGAACAAATAATTGAAGATTATTTGAAAAATATACTAATAAAACAATTTTTTCAGATATTACAAATTAATATATTAAAAATAGTATATTTATATACTAAATAATCAATATATATATATATTGCACTAACATTTTATAAAAATGATGGAAAATTTTGGATTCAGTAAATTTGTGACACGTCTACACCTCATAAGATAAGGAAAATTTTTTACTCACCCATCATCAAATATATTATTAATTTGCATAATTAGTCTATACCCGTCATTGACTGATTTAAATTTTAGTCAATTTGCCTATTTTCAGTTATGTAATCTAAAAATTATTCAAAAGTTCATGATCAAATTCTCTGAAATTTATAGGATAGACAGTTCTATTACGTGCTGTAATATATTTTTCTAAAATTCTTTTATTAGAATGTTTAAAAAAAGGCTATTAGATACTTTAAATCTCATATTTGGCGTTAAGAATTATTTTAATCTTATTTTGTCCGGAATTATAATCCAGCATGTGTTAGTAGAATAACCTATCTAAAATCGGAAACGTCATAGTAAGCGTTGTCCTTGTCGCTATATAAAACAACGGACATACGCTTGGACTCTCTCATTCCCATCTAATTGGTTTGGGAAATTGAGGGTAACCTATGAGAGGAAGCCTAGTCTACACGACTTGACTATGGCAGTTAGACTTATTCACTGGCGATTATTACGATTCGACTGGTAATATATCACGTTTTCTTAATTTGATAAATGAATTCTTCAAGCAGTGAATACTAATATGATTTGGAATGATTATATTTTGTGATTTCCTTATTTGAATACTATAAAAAATCTTTTTTTTCTTAAAATGCTACCCCTTAACAATTTTTTTAAAAAAAATAGATATAGAACACTATAATACTCAACCGACAATATATAGTTCTGGCAAAAATTTAATTAACCAACTTTTCCGGGAGGGGGTTTTAGTTGAAAGTTTTATGGCATTATGTTTACTAAAGTTTAGTTTTGATTTGCGTAAATACTTTATATCTTTAACCCCTATTAAGTTTTGTTAAATCATCCTAATTTAACCATCTCCGATACTGTATTGGTTAAACTGTATTGGAGGTGATAGAGTTGTAGGAGGGGGGAAGGGTGATTGAGCAACACTACCCACCACCATTTCATTTCTGAGGGTTTTACCTCTTCCACTATCTCTTTACTTATTTTTTTGAAATCTTTTCTAGACACTCCTTCGCTTGGATTCGGTTTAAGTGTTTCCCGGAAGTTGCTTGACCCTTTTTTTTCCTATAAAAAAAGCACTAATTTATTTTTAAAGGTTTTTGAGCCTCACGCCTAATTTGTGAGATCTGGGAAAATTCGATGTTCCACCCATTTTTTACGATCCGCTTAAACTAATACGTTTCCTTTCTATCATCGAGTGTCACGTGAATGGAACCATTTCTCTTTAGATCCTGGATGACAAATAAAATCTCTCATGTTAACAAAATATTATGATTATTATTCCTATTTTTTAAATATAATATATAATTCTTTGCATCAAAAAAAAACAAACAAGTTTTTACGTGTCAAGCCAAAACCAGGAGATCTAACGTGGAAGTGGAAGCCTTCGAAAATGATTCCGAACTCGTGGGAGGTGACGAAGACCTGCAGAGTAGTTCGGATGATTCTGACACTTCTAATTCCGACCATACGCGATTAATGGAACAGGGTCAAAAATTCGGTATCAACACGTTAACTTTTTTATATGTCTGTTATAAAATTTTTTATAATAGTATAGACTTGCCGTATATAGGATCATAATAGTAATTACACACATGTCAGCTCCATCTTACGACCTAAATTAAGTTTAGACGATATAAAGAAAGGTTTTATATGGGCTAGTGTTTGCAGCTTTTTATCTATTTATCCAATCTAACTCTAAACTCAAGGTTATAAGCTTAAAACCATAAAAAATAAATCGTGGTAACCTATTGATTGTTCCTCAAAAATTTATCATATTAGAAGTTTATATTGTTTGGTTTTTCTGAAAACTAAACTACCATCGACCTTTTTGTGCCTGATTTTATTTAGCCACTGTAATACTGAATGCGGAAAATTAAGTGTAATAATATTTATTTATTTTTTTTAAAAAAAAACAAATGAATTCGTTAAAATCCTAGGACTATATCAAATTTGCTAAAACCAGGGGTCTACGAAGTATAGTTCTGGAATTTTCTAAACACGACATATGTAATATGAAAAAGAAAGAAAGGAAAACAAAAAGATTTTATGACTTTATATATAATAAAAGCTTCGATAATTTAGGTTTATATAAACCCGACATTTAATGGGATATTATTTAATTATAATTTAGCGAAACCCCAAAAGACCAATACATTTAATCAAAATAACTTAAGCGCCATATTTGAACTCGTAATTTTTTTTTTAGTAAATCTCTGTTTTCTTTCGCCTTTAAAAGCCTAATTCTTTTTTTTTCCTCTCTCGCCAAAACAAGGTTTAGACGATTCAACGATCGCTTCATCTAAAAAAACTACTCCCAACTTGTTTAATTACTCTTCCATCTCTAAATATTCTTTTACTCGCACCCACAATTTCGGGATACGCAGCCCATTCCGAAAATGGCTTTTCTGGAAGAGCGACAAGAACATTCTATGGAAAACCCCCTTATCATCGGCTCCACTACCTCAATCTACTCCCATTCCGGCCGTTTTTGGTGGCGAAGATTTGAAGAGAATCCATCCCGACGAACAATTGCATGGAACGAAGGATGCTGCGGGAGGCGACGGGGAAGAAAACAATAACTCGTCTTCACCCCAGAGCCTTTGGAGGGCTTTTTTTGACGCTCTTTCTGGTAAATGCCCTTCCCTGCCATTCTCACGGAACCCCCTGGCCACCCTGAGTTGCGTCAGCAACGTGTGCCCTCTGGATAAGGAGGGCATGCTCTCTTGGCCCGATCCTTACCCCGAAAAAACCCTGGTCATTTACAGTTCGACACCACCTCCTTCCGTCAATCCCGATTATTATTGTCCACAGAATGACGTTACTAATGTAGTTTCCAAGCTGATCAATCCGCAAATCGAAAATGAAGAAATTCCTGATGCTAAAACTGCTCTTAGAAATGAAACGGGGGACGAAAAATTTATAGAATGGGACAACGACGAATCATTACGGAGGCATAGGAGTCTGATCGATATCTATCACGAAACCGGTCCTTTGAGCGAGGTTTTAGTAACTGATCCCAACATCGGAACTCGTAAATCCGGGTTATCCGTGCCGTCCAATAATAAGTTCGCCACCTTTTCCGGTTTTAAAGTCGGGCCCCGTTTTAGGAAACGAAATCGAAGCCCGGGAGCCTATTTGAAAGAAATATTATCGATCGATCACGTGAGTCCTACCGCCAATTTAAGGAAAATGTCTCTCCGAAAAGATAACAACAAAGTGAGTTTAATCAATAATATATACAAAGGCTAGTTGTTATATATATGTAAAGCTTAGCTAGTTTTAAAAAATTCCATATCCTTCGTGGTCACGTTTTTTTGTTTGAGAATTTCTTTTGTTAGATATGCTTATATGGTAATGGCATCGTTGAGTGCATTGTTTTTTATTATTATTAAAAAACATGTTTTTTTAAAAAAAAAAAATATATATGATTTTACTTCCCAGGGGTTTAATCCCTCATAATTATAAAGGAAAAGGAGAAAAACTCCCGTCCTCTTAAATACATTACATGATTAAAATAACAGATCAAAAAACACGATGACAGTTTCTACGAAAAGGGTTATTTTACTTGGAGATGCCCGCGTGTCGTGCCCGCTAGCCCGGGACCTAACGACGCTCCACCCCATTTTGGCAAAAGAAAAAAATCGCCCGAGTGCCCCGATAATAGAAACCAACAAAATGCGAAGGAGATGGAGAGGGGTGACAGGAGAAGGAATAGAACATTCTCCGGTTTAGGTAAAGGAAGGTTACCTTCACCCCATTCTTTTTTGTTTTGTTTTTGTTTACGCCTTTCACATTATTCTTTTTTTTTGTTTTTGTTTACGCCTTTCACCCCATTCTTTTTTTTTTGTTTTTGTTTACGCCAAATTTCGAATTTACTATTAACATAAGGCACAACAGACCTTCAAAGATGGGCCCCTCTCTTTTTTTACCAGTCAAGGGTTGTTTTTTTTTGTTATTTTGACCATTTAACGAATTTTGCAAGCGGGTCGAAAATTTGAGAGGTGAACGAATGATTAAATCGACCCCACTTTAATTTTTAAACCCGGATATAAGTGATTTATAAAAGCTCCTAAAGAAATATACGTAAAATTGTACAGCGAAAGCTCGTTCACAAGTTAAGGACTTAATAGGGGGAATTTTGTTTTAAACAAAAAGAAATTTACTTCCACGGAATCCTTATTGAATATATTTCCATCATAAAAATTTATCATAATTAAAGACAATTTTAACCAATCCGCTTTGAACGTGAAAATATTAGCGCTCAGCCACGAACCCAATCACCCCGAAAATATATCTTTCGAAGACTGCTATTGGTCCGATTATTTGCCCAATTTGAAACCCCTGGTGAGAAATTTGATCATTGTATAAAATCGTTTAAATATGCGCGGCTCTAATCACCTTATTCTTACTCCCAAAATTAGCATAATTTACGTGCGTTCTCTTCAGGACGGGTCGTAGACCAAACGTGATAAATGAGTGAATGAATGAATGATTGAATGAATGAATGAATAAAATAAAATATATTCAAAAATATTCTTATTTTTACGACCGGAAGCACACATTGAAACGAACGAGACGGAAAGGAAAGATTGAGAAAGAAATAAGGAGATCATGTATTCTTCAATCATTAAAGAAATGTCTAGTTTATTTTACTTAATAAAGCTAGATTACGCAAACAATATTTAAAAATTAAAAGTTAGGCTCAAAAATAAAAATTAATTAAACAGTCCTCTTATCGGTCAAGAAAGTTCTAGAACAAATATATATATATATTTTTTATATTAAAATATGCCATTTAAAAAATATTTACGAAGATTTTGTTATAAATTTTGGTGGTAATAGACCATTGGTATAAATCAGTTAGAATAAAAAGTAATCGACTGATCTGATGTATCTTGAGTAATAACTTCGGTATCGGTATCCATATTTGATAGAAAGGAAAGAAAGAAGGAAGGATAGAAAGGATATAATAATGAATCAATTAATGAATTATGATAACAGTAGCATTTTTATAATCGATCAAATTCTTAGGCATTCGCCATAATGGCTACCACTTGCAATTTGACGTACTCCAAGGAGATCAAAGACTTTTACGATTACCTCTCTTCCTATTACGGAGTTAACGATGCCTCGTCTCCCAATCATCCCCTGTTCCAACCACCCAGGTTTTTTTTACTCATCGCTACTCTTAACCGGTTTTTTGATTAGATCGATCTCATCATCCGCATTTTGTAGAAATATTTATCGGCTATGCCAAAATGACGGATAAAATATTATTCATAATGTGAACGTTTTTTAAATAGTTTGCATTCCGTGTATTTTATTTTATTGGTGTATTTTTAATTTATTCGGTAACCCTGTAGACGTTTTCCCTAATGTTATTATTTTAAAAAAAAATCAAATCAGCTGATATTGGTAAAAAAAGCTTTGTCGGTACATTTCTAGTTACAGTTACTCTCCCTCATATTTGAGTTTTTTTATCTTTAAGATTTCCTTTCATTTCTTTTAAAAGATTTTTGTGTTTTTGTAAAAAAAGATGTCTATTACGCTTGGCGGATCTCACCAACAATCGCTCCTCTACCCAAACCAAACCCTCGTTAGCGACGACCCATCACAATCCTCCGCCGCTTTCGAGACCCGGGTTTAAATCTTCCCATTTGGACGATAAATTTTTTTTCGGGGTCTACGAGAAACGTCATTCCGTCGCGAACGATTATTATTCTAACGCAATGCCTGTATCTCCCCATATGGTTTTAATATATATATAATATATATATTTATATAGGGCTTCGAACCAAGATCCAAAATTTATTGAATATTTATAAAGAAGCAAAAATAACATTGCAACAACAAAGAACGTATATAGAACATATAAAACAAAGATAAATAAAACAGTTTTTTTTTAAAAAAAAACTCAGATTTCTCTTTTGGTTTTCCAAGCTCTGCATTCATCTACGTGTGATTAAAAATTATACCATGCGTATTTCGATTATTATAGTTTAAGGATATAGGTTATTCGATTATAGTTATGCACTATTACCGTTAATCTTGTTAGTATCGATGGTATCAGCTGATACCGTAGCGGTGAATGATATCACTTTTGTTAGTAACAGTTGATGCCATTGTTACCACCAACACATGATGCCACCGGTATCGATAGTATCAGCTGATAACGTGTTACTATTGGGTGATGTCAGTTTGGATATCGGTGGTATCGGAACATCCCTGATGTTTATCTTGTGAAGGAGTGAAAACGATTCCAGTTCTGGATATTTCCGTTTGGAATAGCGATGACATTTTTATATTCGACCCGTTTCCAGGGTTTCCGCTTCCAAATTATAAAAAGGTGCACCGATATTTTGATTAATATATACATTCTAGATCGGCTCCCGAAAACTACCACTTTATCCGGCCGAATATCGGTTATTTCGCCAATTTTTTTTTAAAAACTAGAATTAGTTAATATACATCTTTTTTTCCATTCGTAAAAATTTATTACAGGACGGGTAACTTGTGCACATAATCGTATCACGGACAGGCCTGAAATGTTCAGAAAAATTAGGCGCACTTTTGTAGGAACCCATTCTGAATATGGGTCCCTGAAAATTATAAATGAAGGTACTATTCCTAGAAATTTTTCGGATTTTTATCTGGTTCTCAGATATGACCCTCCCTGTTCCGTGGGTTCTATTCAGTGACCCCTACACTTTTTGAGGGATAGAAGCAGAATACCCCCTAAAGTACCCCCCCCCCCATTGTAAATTATTTTTTGACACCAATAAATTTCAAAAATAATTTTTATTGCATCAATATTTATTATAATATAAATGTAATGTAAAAAATATTGCTTTAAAAATATTATTTTTAAATTAATAATTTAGATAAATTAGGGGAAGAGAAAGCAAAAGAATTTATAATTTCATCAATATTTAATTGTTTAAATAAATTATTTTCCATTGATAAAATGGTTAAATTATTAAGAAATGGATCTTTCATGACACTACGAAGTCTTGTTTTAATTAGTTTAATTTTACTCATGACCCTTTCGGCAGTACATGATGTAGTAAGAATAGTTAATAAATATTTATATAAAATTGTTAAATTTGGGAAAGCAGAAAAATTTATAAGCAGACGATAAGGTAAAATAAATGAATAGTTTCTCCAGTCTTAATCATTCATCTCTAAATTATTATCATCATCAGAAGAAGCTAAATAATGTATTAGTAAAAATATTTTAATTAAATAAATTTACAATTCTCAGAATCTGACAAATCTTCTTTAACCTCTAGGTCACGAGTAATAATTACGTCCCCCGTTTTAGCCATTTTATAAATATTTCTAAACATCAACATTTCCTCAAAAACTTGACTTGTATTTAATTGATAAAATTCACAGATATCCTTGATATCATCTTTAACAATTGCCTTTTCCGCCATTCCCTTTGGGGTAAAAAATGATGTTTGACTCAAAAATTTTATCGATTCATCGTTAAATCTTTCACTAAACTGCATAATAATTAAATCAAGTGCAGCATAAAACACACTGATTTTAAAGCTAAAATAAAATATTATATTTAATGATGAAAGTATATATATACCTCTCCTTTTTGGATTGTAATGTTTGAAGTCTTGAACTTTCAAAATCAAAAGGTAAATTTCTCTTCTTCATAAAATCTTGGGCCTTTGAAAAGACATCCAAAAATTCAGTGTTATTATCTATTTTAGGATTATAAAATAATAAAAGATAATAATTTAAATTATACTTCTCATATTAATCAGGCAATCTTTTGCCAATTGAATTTGATTTATTGCAAACCCTATATCCTTCGAAATGGTTTGCAATTTTGTACAAGCCAAGCTAGTTATCAACAATATTTTATCCAAAACACATAGTGATAAAATAAAATCAAATTTTTCTATTCTATAGACTATAGCACTAGCCATAGTGGAAGTGGCAGGATCTTCAGAATCCTTTAAATTTGCCAAAGCTGCCCTCAAAGCATCATAAAGTAGGAAAAAATTTACAATCGCCTTATATGATGTTAGCCAGCTTCTATAAATATAAAATAAACATTATATATCGAAACAATTAAGATAATATTACCGAGTGGTATTCTTGATGCTTAAAAATCTATGTGATTTTGTCAGTAAATCACTCTGACATGTTTTGAGCACTTCATATCTTTTAACACCATTAAAATATACGTAAATTTCGTCTAATATTCCCAAGACATTTGGCAGCTCTTTTACTGATTGGCATAATTGAACAACTATTAAATTTAATCGATGACAATAGCACCAAATAAAAGCTGCCTTTGGCGCCTCCGCTCTAATCAAGGCCTGCACTCCATTAATTCTTCCACTCATGTTTGAGGCGACATCATAGCTTTGCCCCACTAGGAATTCGAGGGGTAGATTCATGGAGCCAAGCTTGGATATTATATTCTTTTTAATATCGAGGCCCGTTGCATTTCCCGTACAATAAATGTCTATCAGCCTTTCAACGGGCTTAGGTGTCTCGCTATTTTCAACATATCTCACTATCAAAGCTATTGCTTCTGATTTCGATACATCATATGTGCCATCAACTATAATTGAATAGCACCTGTTGAATACAATCTCCTTTTGAATTTTTTTTATAACCATATTTTTCATGGTTTCAATAAGAATATTTATGTTATTATATGATAACAGATTTGAATATAATTTAGATTTTAATCCCTTAATTTTTTTCTCACTTCTTATTTAATAAAAAATTTATTTTGCTATTTATCCAATTTTGAGAAATATTCTTAAAAGCCACTATTTCAAAGCTTTTCTTTATATCGTGAAAATTAAGCCCACCATGTCTTTTTCTAATATGATCTGTCCATTTATCATCTCTTATATTATGATATGTACAATTTTTAATCAAGCATTTATATTTTTTTTGGTTAATATTTTTGGGCATATTTTGACAATGATCTAAAAATTATAAATGATTATATATAAGATTTAATATTTAAATTTTTACTATTCCCTTTGATAAAATTTTAATTTTGCGCCACTTGAAAGTGGAAAAATAATTTTATGATAAGAAATATCGGATAACAAACTAATTTGCTAAACATCGACCATAAAAATTTTTAAAATAAAAAATTAAAAAATTTTTTTTTAAAATTTTAAAATAAAAAATAAAAAATTTAAAAAAAAAAAGTACCCCCATAGAAATTTATAGAAGCAGTTGCTTCGGACCCCCCCCCCCCCCCTTTCGTTGTAGGGGTCACTGGTTCTATTTCGGGTTTTAAACTCTGGTAAGAACAATTTTTTTAATTTGCCTAATCGCGAGCCACAATGGAAGGGTGACCGTAATTTGCTGATCGTTCACCGTCTACATTTAGGGTAGTATTGGCATGGGTATTTTGATTGGCGGATTTTATTGACTGATCCTCAATTTCGGCCAGCAAGGCGGATAACGAGTTATTTCACAGATTTTTTTAAAATAATTTAACTGTAAAATGAATATAAAAAAAAAATTGTCAGGAAAATTCATATTTAGGACGACCAGCCAGGGCTTTTTTCAGTGTTCTTATAAAAGACGAAGCGGCGAACGATTTGAAGGCGGAAGAGGGCGCTTGCAGATATCAATTGTTTTCTTGCGGTTCACCCGATTTTCTTGGCGATTTCTGCTACGACGCTTGGGATGGGCTCGATATTCAACCCATCAATCATCGCGAATATTCCGACGTCGGTATGCCCATATTAAATTGTTAACCCAAAAAAGTATTACACTAATAAAAAAAATTATTTTTTAGACTCGAAGTGAAAGAAATATTTTAACCTAATTCACTGAATAAATATTAAAAACTTTTTTACTCTTTCTTTTTAGCTTTCACCTTTTTTTCTGATGGCTAAACTCCTTCAACATCTCTCTCCACCATATGTTATTTATGCTATCTCTTTTATCTAATTTATACTTCTTTATATTGGCTCTAACTTTATGGGGCCCCATTGAAGTTTTGGCCTTCCTCTTTTACCTTTGCCCCATCACTTCCAAACTCTCAACCTTATTTCTTATGTAGTTCATAGGGCTTCTCATTGTGTGTGCCAATACCACCTAAGCCTGTTTACCATTAACTTAGTCTTAATAGGTAGGCACTACCTTTAAAATACTCAGTATTCTTGTACTGCGCACTTTATCCTTTCTTGTTACCCTAACTATTACATATATGTATAATCGCAACATTATTATTAAATAAGCATCCATAAACCTAAAAATAAATATTCGATTTTATATTGCTAATACTCTTCTAAATGTAATTATGATTTTCCCAAAATCACTATATATATAAAAAAAATCATATGATAAATTCTAAAAAGAACCGAGAATAATAATTGTTATATCTATCTCTTATTCGAAATCATTTTTAAAAACGTCTATATCTGTCAATTACATATCAACGGATGTAACACTAACATTTTTAATTTTGCGAGACTTTTCTATCTTGATTAACCCGTCCAATTTTGACTCTTATATTTTCACCTATCCTATTTCGACATATTTTTTTCTTCTCATCTAATCAATTTTTGGGCAATTATTTTTGCGAAATTTTTTTTTTTATCCTTAAACGTATCTTTAAAAAAAAATCGTTTAATTGAAAGTGGAAATGTTTTAAACTTCTGCTGCCATTCATAATTTGTCCCATAAAAACGAATATTTTACTTCTTTTTTTTTTAGATTTAATAACTCTCGAAAACATCCGCACTCAACACGCCAACCCTCATCAGCCTCCTTCGGATTCCTTGGAAACTAAATTGAGCGATTTTTATAAGCGAGAAGTAGTGCTCAGCGGATGCTCGGATTGTGTGGCGTTCGCTTATAAACCCTTGTTGCCCCACGAGGCCAAATACCTAAAAACCATTATAACCGCCAAAATGAGAAGCCGTAAAAGAGAATTGAAAATGGCCGTTCTAACGCTCAATAAAAATTCCAGGGTCGGCTTAGAAGCGAAATTCGCGGAACACCCGCGCAAGAAGAAGATGGGAATCAAACTCCACCCGGAAAATCACGTGAAGTTTATCAACGGGGTTGGGTTAGGAGCTGGAGGATGGATGGAGAGGGACTTTGGTAGCCTTTGTGTCAGAGTTCCCGATAGGTCTAGCGATATGGTAATTGTGATATATTAATTAATATTTTTGGTCATATATAGGGATTAGTGATTTTTTAAAAAACAAATATATAGAGAAGTAAAATTTTAGGGCCTACCCGATTTGTAAGCGTTAACATTTACAATCAAGCTTACACGCGCGGCCCAGGATTTATGTTTGCAGCTCTTCCCAAATGTTAAATTTATCTTCCGACTGGAAGTATTTATCATTTTAAATAATTTTGGCTGGGGGTGGGGGGGGTGGGGTAACGGTTTTGGGTATCGTCTAAAATGGTGGTATAAGCGTGACGTTTTAAAATTACCTTTTTTCTTTCGGAAAAATAAAATAATATTTTTGGATTTCAAAAGATGTTCGACCAATATTTGAAAACGCGCAGGAATTATCACGATACGTTCAGTGATCATCACCGAAGGGCGTCTTACTTGTCGAACAGCTGTTCTTCCAGCCCTGGTACCAACGTAATTCAGGCACACACACCGACGGCCCTAGCCGTCGACGGCAAAGAGAAATCTGAATCATTTTTTTCGCTAGAAGCGGTGAGGAAATCAGCTGACGAGGAGGTTCCGTGTGGATCACGCGGAAACTCATTATCGGCCTTGCCTTCCGAAATCGAGGGTCAGCCAATAATATCCTTCTATCAAAATATCCATGCCGATACGACCGTAAATGTGAACGGTGAACGATTAACGAATTCCGGTCATCCTACTTCTATTACTGGCTCATCGATTTTGCCCGAGTTCTTGAACCTGTGGACAGGGAGCGAAAAGGGAGAGCAAATAGTAGGTAGCACAGAACCCCGAAAGAGTGACAGTTGTCCCACGAGGTTAGGATCAATCAAAAGCACTTCCAACTCTGAAGCCTTCAATTTTTGCCAATACCAAGATAGATCACCTTCCCCAATGAGCGATAGTAAGAAAAAGATAATTCCGTTTTTTTATGTCAAATTAAATTTCTTCCTTTCATTTTTTTCCCTCTTAATGATTATTTTTTCCGGCAAAGTTTTCCCCCCACTCGTTGCCACAGCGGAGCCCAAAACGGTAATAAATTTTAATATTTCCGCTTCGCGCGTTATGTCGTTACTTTCCCATCAAATCTTGCTGGGTTGCGTATCCGCTCTATACCCGCCAAAGATAGAGTACTTCCAAATCATCGACACTCTCGATTCCGCCTTCATAAGGTTATAATCTTATTTAAGAAAAAATAAATGAAACAATCATATTTAGTTATTTTTAACATATCAACAAAATTAATTGGTTTAGCGCGATTTCTCCTATAAAAATAGTTTTTTTAAAAAAAATATGTAGATGGAACATTATAAAATAAATAATCTCTAATAGTAGCTAATTTTTGAATGCCACAAACAGGTTCGTGCATTTTTCGCGCGATAACGAAACGCGGAGCAAAATCTTTGCCGAAAAAATCGGACTGGACATAGGCTGGAATTGTAGCATCTCGCTGAAAAACAAGGATCTCGAATACCGCAAAAATGGCGGAATCGATAGCGGTTCGCGTAGTGGAATGGACGGAGAAGGAGCTGAAAAATCGAAAGATTTCGGAAAATTTATCGAAATCCAAAAGAAGCCGGAAAACCCATTTACCACCTCCATTTTGCCCAAGGGAATAAAGGAGATCAAGCAACACCTATCCACCATAGATAACGTTCCTTTGCTCGTTCCCCTGTTCACCGATTGCTATTGCCGTTTTAAGCCTGCCAATCAAAACGAATCCCTCAATAAAACTACCATGGTTTTGGACGATTCTGTTCTGAGTATAATTAAAATAAAGGGCTTAAGAATATATTTTATCTGCCAAAAAAAAAATGAATAAGGAATTTACTTTCAATTTATTTTCTTTTTTCCTGTCCCTAACACGGGTTCACGCAAATTTTTGATCAGGTTTTTAAAAACATTTTCAAAACTTCGACCCGACCCCGTTATAATATTTTACACAATTTGTTCGGTCTAAGCCCTAAAAATATCTTTGCCTTGCCTGCGGCCATTCTATTGGCCGAGCTGCGTCTATCTTTTAATGTACACAGAATTATAAATTTTAGGCTTATTAAAATTATCATTCAAATTTTTGATCGATTTTTCAAAAATCATGACGCTGAGAATTATATTTCCGGCAAAAAAAAATAAAGTATTTAGAAATCATAAAATTGTGAGCTTTTAAATGATTTAAATCTTAAGGATTCCAGAATGCTCTGAATTCCCTATGCTATCCTAGTCTAGGATGATTGGCAAAATCATGATTATCTTTATAAAAAAAAATCTAAGAAAATCGAATTTTCTTTTTAAATTTAAAATTAAATATAACTGCACCCTTGTAGAAAATTGAATTTTATTAAATTTAACAATCATTTTCCTTGCGGGAATTTACGTATAAACCATGGTTTAGTCTAGGATGATTGACAAAATCATGATTATCTTTATAAAAAAAAAAATCTAAGAAAATCGAATTTTCTTTTTAAATTTAAAATTAAATATAACTGCACCCTTGTAGAAAATTGAATTTTATTAAATTTAACAATCATTTTCCCTGCGGGAATTTACGTATAAACCATGGTTAAATTATTTATATTATCTAAAACTAAAAAAAAATGATATAGTGTTATTAGATGGCTCGGTTTTTTAAAACACGGCTAACCCAAATATTTTTAGCCAAAAATATTGTGGAAAAGCTGGGATAGTGACTTTACATAAGTGTCAGTTCCTTTAACATTAATACAGAGTAAGGGAACTGGTCTGAAGTTTGTACCGGAAAAAAAATGATGACAAATTATGGTTAACCGTAGGCCATTTTCCCCAGGAGAATGTCGCGATGGATACAAATGAGAATGTTGGGCGTATTGCGGGAAGTCACAATATCTACTTGGATGCGCGATTGAGCTATGAATTAAGTTAATAAGTGAGAAACTTCTCGTGATAAATTTTTTTAAAATAAATATAACAATTGCCACTAGGATACAAATATGTAGGCTCATTTTTTTATATATAGGGTCCATTTTGGGCGATGACTATATAATAGCACTTATATTATAAGTCCCTTTTGGGATCACATTATATATATATAATAATGCATATATACATTACTTTGGTTTCTGTGAAACCAAAAAAACAATTGCTTTGTCTCATGTCCTTGACCCGTTAAGGGTGGGCATGTTGTAGATTGCAATTTTTAATTTTTTTTTAAAATATATCCGTCATTTCAAGATTATATTTAAAGAAAACGTTTACTGTAAAAAATAATAATTTTATATACAATTCCTCTTCTCAAAGAAAGAAAGAAAGAAAGAAAAAAAAGAAAGAAAGAGAGAAAGAAAGAATGCAAGAAAGAAAGAAAACAAATGATTAAATCCCGAGTCTTATAATTGCTTGGACATGTGTTAACGAAATCCCCAAGCTTGCTTAACATAATTTTTGGCTTACAGTCTTGACCTGGAATCGCCCTAAATTGGGCCATTTAACAACACTGCTAAAATGTTGATAATTTTTTTATTTTTTATATATCCTGCATCGACCTGGAATGGAATCTTGGTGGCGATGCAAAATCACTCCGTTTGAGCCTATTTTTACGAGAGGCGGCTAACTCAATATTCTAGCCAGAAATTTTTTTGTGCCTAAGCCGCGAGATTTCGCTGATAGATATTCAACCATCTATGAGAAAAATCTTCAGGCTCGCGTGATATTTTTCTGGATAAAATACTCTGAGTTTGCTGCAGGAACAGAAATAATTATAGAAATTTTTATCTTATATTTCCTTAAAACAATGTTACGATAAATTATCGTATTAAATATCCCCCCCCCCCCCCAAAAAAAAAATATACTTTATGATTAAACGCAACACGTGAAATTATATATGAAGCTACTAAATTAAAACTTAAACATTAATAATTATTTAAGATATGGACAAAAAAAAAAGAATTAATATTTGAAATCGTAATTTCAAATATTAAAAAATTATTGATTTTAATCAATTTTGATTTTATCGTACCAACCTGATACCCAATCTACATTTTTTACAAAACTCGATATCACATCACACATAAAATAAAAATTAATATGGCACTAACGCATATTCCATTATTTTTTTAGCTTTTACTCTGTATAATTCCCACTTCTTATATTTCTGTTCTTTCGGTATTCTTAGAAATTTTAACTACTAGTAACTTATATTACAAAGAGAAAGTAATTGAAAAATGTTTTTTTTTCTCATTTAATTCTTCTTTCCATTCTTTTCTTAATCATTTCCATTTTTATATTATTCCTTTTTAAAATATATGAAATATTTATCTCCTTAAGGTATGATAGGCATAATGCAGGAGTACCGCGAAGTGGTGGTCACTCTAGGAAGTTGTTTTAACCTTCAGAACTTGAAACGGTTCGCCGTATCCGACTTGGCCATGTCCGTTCGGCCCCTGTTACCCCATCTGTGTCTCAATTCCGCGTCGTACCCGTCCGAAAATGGTGGCCTCCATCATAATAACAAAATAATGGCCGGCAAAAATAAGGATACTACCCTATTATCTTACTACGGGCTCGCGGGTGAACTGATATCGTTGACCTGCAGTTACAACTTTCAGCCGGATGACAATCTTTGCATAACACGTGTCATTAAAAAGGTGAATTTGATGATTAAATATTCTTTATAAAATAATGAAACAATGTGCTTATTTCATTTTTAAGATAAGAACTGCCTAAACCTAACTAAGAATAAAATTTATTTCCTGTTTTTTTTTGTAAATTATAGGCCTGACCGAATATATCTAAAAATTTTAATGAGCTTGCCCAGGCATTATAGTGCCAACAAATTGAGCGTTTCAAGCGCTGCGTTGCAAACGCCAATAATGCATTTTAAATGGCCTCGTGCGAATCGGTAAAATTACCGTTTGGCGGTAGAAACCATTTTAAAAAAAACGCATATAGGTTTGCGTTTTCAATAATTTTTTCATTCTTCGCTTTGTAATAATTTATATAAAAATTGTAATATAAATAACTTACTTATATCCTAAAAAGGGAATATTTAAGAAATTAAAGAAATAAAGAACGCAGACGATAATATAATTTTCAAAGACAAATCCTTTTTTTTATTCTTGGCTTTGTAATAATTATATAAAAATTGTAATATAAATAACTTACTTATATCCTAAAAAGGGAATATTTTAAGAAATTAAAGAAATAAGAACGCAGACGATAATATAATTTTCAAAGACGAATCCTTTTTTTTAGAACTTATTTAAAATTTTGAATCGAACTGATAAACTAACTCAATTTTAAACCATGGACGTGTTGCGTTTTTTTTATTTAAAAATTACGGCAAAACGTAAACGCTCGATTTTGTGTGCGCACTATTATACATTCGATATACATATATATTTTTTAAAATGATATTTCAAGTTAATATTTTGATTATTAATACTATTCAAAAATTATAATTTGGTAGTAAGCTTATATCTCCTGTGTATTTAAAGAGCTTGTCATACAAAAATACTCAAATCTATATATAATAAAACAGTAAATTCATAATAATAAATTTAAAAATTTTATTTATGACACGATTCAATTAACAAATACACAAATGCAGATACCGAGACACTATTGATTTATAAAACGGTGTTGTCGTAGAAATAGATAGCCGTAGGGTAAGGGATATCCTTTCGACTTTGGGGAAAAAATTAGATGGGCTGAGTTTTTTAGAAAAAAATTTGTGAACGTAGTATTGTTGGGTCAAACCAAGTAAGATTTTAGCCAATAATTATGAACCCCGAGATTCTGCGCACTGGTGGCACACAGGTTTGGACTTCTATTTGCCAAATATCGAAGAGATTGCATAACATTATTTTGAATCGACTCAACTACAATACTAGTTATCGGGGTGTCAAAAAATCAATTGTGGAAATTTAATTGATTTATATTAATTATGCTAAGGGTAAAAACTTGGTATTTGTCTATAATGAGAACGATAATTATAAGGCTTGAATATTTTAAGTAGAATGGTTATTAGAATGGTCGCACAGGATGTAATATAGGCTAATGAAAAAGAATTTATAAGGCTTGAATATTTAATCTAGAATGGTTATTATAGTAATTTGGTATTTTATTTATCTAATTTATAAAAAGAAAACAAATACAAGTTATTATATATCAGAAAAAAAGTGATTGTCAAATAAAAATATATATTTTATTCTGTTGCCTTAAGATATATAACTGAACTTTTAAATATAAATTATTTAAGTATTTAAATATATAATAGTTTAACTGACATTTTAAATATAAATTATTTAGTAAGTAATAAAATAACAGCGCACATGCGCACATGCAACAGTCTATCCCACAAATTTTTTTTCAACAGATACGTTTCCGATACTTTTTCGATACTCATAATAAATCCGATATTTAAATTTTATTTTTATTTTGCCACCTCATCTTAATAACCTCAATGTTCATTTTTTTAAAAAAAATTTCTGATATGTTCTTTTTTACGAATAAATAAATATTAACTCTGTAAACTATGCATAAAACGAGAAACATACGTTTCTTTCTCGCGACAATTCGACTTTGGGTGATGTCGCGAATGATTAAGTGTTATTTTGTTTTATTATTGAATCGGAAGTTAATCATCATCTCATTTAGAGATTTTGGGTATTTATGACTTGAACGCGACCCGTTAGATTTTTTTTTAAAATCATTTACTTGTTTCAATATTTTTGAACGAATCTTTTTTTGAAAGTGAAACGCATTCGGTTTTTGCCATGAACGGGAAACGCGTTAAATTTTGTGTATATAATCATAAATAATAAATATCGCATCTTTAGTTGCTCTTCCTCTTTAAAAATATTTCAATATTCTTTTCAAACCTTATAAATAAAAATCATTATTATTATTATTATTATTATTAGCAAATTATATACAAAATAAAGTATTATAGTTATATATATATAATCATGAATTAACCCCTCCCCCCCTCCGCCAAACATTAATAATATCAAATCGAATCAGTTTTTTTAAAATACCGGCCCGGTTCGATTTTTTAGACGGTAAATATTTGCCACCGATTTGTTAATATATTTGATATCGGTTCGGAACAGCCATAGTAAAAAAAACTGGCGATTTAGTAAATTTATAAAATTTTAAACTTAATTTAATAAGCAATCCTTATTGAAACTTTTTCATGATGATTTGTTTAAATATTTTTATATCCCTCTCACCTCACCGTATTTTAAAGGCCAGACAAATATCCGCCAACATAATCTCCAGCTGCATTTTCATGGTTTATTTTAACCTGTACCTCTCGTTGAGCCATATGATCTCGTTTCTCGTCTTCCTTCCTCCCATGTTCAACGCTTACAACGTGGTCTGGTTACTGACCATCGTATGTCCCACGCTTACCGTATCCCTCCTAGCGAATCCCGCTAAGCTTAAAGTTATGGACATGGCGACCGCTAAAAATGCGCTAGTCACTAAAGAGGTATTGCCTCATTTATATATACATATTAAATATGGAAAGATGGTTATGCCAGGAGTTAATTTGAAAGAGCGGATTCCTGGCTAACCCTCGGTGGTTAGGTTGGTTTAGGAATTAGCTCGGTATGATGGTAGTTGTTAAGTGGAGTTCTAACTTTAGCCCCTCCCCCCTTCCCCACCCCAGTTTTAAAACTATTATATCTCTATCGCATTCCAAATTAAACTTTAATTTATTGTAGTAAATATTAATCTCTGCTTTTCAGATAGATGCCAACCCAACTTTTATAGGTCTACTGGAGTAGTAAAGAAAATTCACCTTAGCTATTTTAGACTTCTCACGGTTTCGTAATATGATCAAGGAGTTTGAAAAAAAAAAGAAAATCTTCAAAATTTTGCAATTTTGAACAAATATTTTTCTATTTTTAACAAAAAATTTTTTAAAGATCACAAAATTAAGTAATCTTTTTTTTTGAAAGAAAAATTGACTGCATCATGAAAGATTTGTCCTATGCATAAAAATCACAAAGAGTTTTTTTTTAAAAAAATATATATATATTTGGAAAGGTATTATATTTAAAAAAAAAAGTGTGGTATCGTTTAACCAATAAACGAGGTCTAAGCATCCGAGGTTTCGCAACATAAAAATCAGGGACCCGCAGGCCCGACCCTAAGCTCGGGTCGGGCGGTTTTTAAATCCGGGCCGGGCCTGAAATTACAAACCCGGCCGGACCGGAAAAAATTTTTGAAAAACAAATCCGGGTTGGGCCGTACAAATGGTAACTCTGCAGGTCTTTGATAAAAATTATGGTTTGGCCCAAATTTTGAGGCGTAGGTAATATTTTTCAGGCAAGAATTCGAAGTTTTTAACGCGACAAAAAACGTATTAATACTATTTATACATTACATATTTATTTTATGTTTTCTAACAATACGTTCTAGAAAATAGCTTTCAACGTGTTCATATTCTTGCTGAAATTTATCCCGTTCCTGGGTTTACTGTTGGTGACCTACGGATTTATATTGAGTTCTTTGTGCGATAAACAAATGGCCGAGATGCCGCCGGCTAATCGTAATGGCCGAAATTGCACACTTTTGACCTTTCCTTAGTAAAAAAATTAAATAAATGATTATTCACAAATAAGTATATATATATATATATTTAGAGCTGACTACTAAGCAGTGTTGTTGAAGTAGCTCGTTACAATTATCGCGCTACTTTTTTCAGTAGCGATTAGCGCGTTACTTTTTTTCAGTAGCGGACACATAAAAAAAATGTTAAAATATATTTATAATTAATTATAAAAATCATAATCTTTTTAATTTTAAATTTATATTTAAAAATTCATATCGACAAAAGTAATTTTCCTGGGATAATATAAAATATCCTTTTTATGAATTTTATTGTGAGATGTGGTGGAAGGTTTTATAATTAAATAAGACTAATAAGCTTCAAGCCAGGATACATTTAAAAGTATCAAACAAATTTAATATCAGTGCATAGCCAACACATCCTTAATCTTTAAAATAAAATTTGAATTATATAGCTGTATCTAATAATAGTTTTTTTTGATCTGAATGAGTTTCTGTGGAATTTGATCTTCTGGCTTAGTCCAAACATGGTATGTTTCAACTGGCCATAAGATTTTATTTAAAAATCATATTTATTATAATAAATTAAAAATTTCAATGGATAATTAATATTAACATTTATACTTTGTTACCGTTGAGATATCACGGCATTCTCTTTCTCACTCTAAATTTATTAGTCTATTATATATATATATATTTTTTGATGGGTAGGATAGGAAGCAATAATAAATGACATAAACTCCATCTTTTTTAGCCTTTGTTTTGTTCCAATTGTTATATTTTTACTGTTTAATTATTAAAAACTCTTTTACAAAAAAAAAAAAACCACTATTAGAAGAAGAAAAAAAATATATACAGTAAAAAAAACTATATCTTCTTACATTTTTCAACTTGCGGTCTTTTTATGTACTAATTTATTTAGGATTATTATAATTGTAAAATTTTAAAATAATATCTTTTGACTTTTAGACCACCTCTATATATATATCAGAGACCAGCAGGCCTGGCCCTCTAAGCCCCGGCCCGGGTTTAGGACCGGGCCATATTTTAATTTTTTTAAATATATCCGGGCCGGGCCGTTCTAATGGTACCTCTGCAGGTCTCTAATATATATAATTATATTTTACTCCGGATTTCTAAACAAATTTTCAAACTTATATTATCATAATTTATTTAAACGCAAAATTTATCACAAAAATATGTAGAAGAAAAAAAAACTAATATTTTTTTTTTTAAAGGTAATATTATGATATTATTTGTTTATTTAAGCTTTACGGGTTACAAGAAAATCTTCTTCTTCTCCGTTTTATGGCGATTTCCAGGTTTACCCGGGTAGGCCAGTTTTCCCTCTGATTTTTCTTTTCCATTTTTGACGGTCCTGAGCATCAATACTTGTAAGATTCAAGCTTCTCATATCCGCCGCTATCACATTTGTCCACGTCATCTTGGGTCTTCCTCTAGGTCTTGATCCTCCTACTTCCATCATTGTGCATCTCTTTACCCAGTCATCTCTTGTCATACGTTCCACATGCCCAAACCATCTTAGTCTATTTCGTCGCATTACCATACCAATCATTTCTATACCTAATCTTGCTCGCAATTCCTTGCTAGTTTTTCTCTCTCTCAGAGATACCCCACACATCCATCTAACCATCCTCATCTCTGTTCTTTCTAATTTGGCTTCGTAAATTGCTTTCATTGCCCATGTTTCACCGCCATAAACTAAACAACTCCTCACGCAGCTTACGTAAACTTTCCCCTTTAACTTCAGAGAAACTTTTTTATTTGTAAGAATAGATGACATCTCTCTGAACTTCTTCCAAGCTTGTCTGATCCTTGCAACAACAGCAGAATCTACACCACCATCTGCGTTTAGCATATCACCTAAATAACAAAACTTATCCACTTTTTCTAGAATTAACCCATTGCCAATATCCAGACCACCATTTTTTAGGTTATCATTATTATGTATCCCTTTCATGCATGTTTTACAAATAAAGGTCATTCTTTCTAACATCAAACTGCCTTTTTTCCCACTACATCTTTTATGTACCCATTTCTGGCATCTGGTACATTGGATAGAATTTCTAGCAACTCCTTTCCCACATACACCACAAGGCCACTTACCTGATTCTTCTATCTTTAGATTTTCCCCACCAATCATCACCTTTGTTTTTGATGCATTCATTTTCAGGCCCTTTGCTTCCATAGTCATCTTCCATTTAATAACTTTATCCCTCAATTCTCCCTCACTGTTTGCCATTAATACAAGGTCATCTGCATATAATATCTCCCAGGGAAGTCCTTCACGCATTTCTCTAGCCACCACATCCATTACTAAGATAAATAATAATGGACTCAGCACGGATCCTTGATGAAGTCCTACCTTCACCTCAAAGCTGTCACTATCACCATGATCCGTCCGTACTGCTGTTTGTGCTTCAACATACATTGCCATCACTGCGGTAACTAACCATTCCTCCACACCGGATTTTCTCAAGGCCCATCTTGTAATCTCACGCGGCACCCTATCAAATGCTTTCTCCAAATCAACAAACGCATAATAGAGTTTCTTTTCCTTCGCAAGATACTTCTCCTGAATTTGTCTCACCACAAAAATTGCATCTATCGTGCCTTTTCCCGATGTAAAACCAAACTGCATTTCATCAATTTTGATTTGTTCCCTTATCCGCTTTTCTAACACTCTCTCAAATACTTTCATTGCATGTTCCAAGAGTTTAATAGCTCTGTAAGACCCACAATCTAAAGGATCACCTTTCCCCTTGTATACTGGGATAATTATACTTCTTCGCCAGTCCTCGGGAATAGTACCTTCTGTGACAATCTGATTTGCTAAATTCATTAACCATTCAATCCCTAAATCATCAGAACCTTTAAACATCTCTGATACCACCATCGTTAAACCCGATGCCTTCCCTTTCTTCATCTTTTTCACTGCTCTCCTTATCTCGTCCTTGCCAAATTTACACCCTGGACCTTCTACCTTTGCACAACTAATATTATTATTCCATTCATTTTCTTCATTCAAAAGTCCTTTCATGTAAATCTTCCAGGTGTTCTTAATACCACTACTATCAATCATCATTTTTCCTTCCATATTTTTCAAACACTTTACACCTATCACATCCTGCCTCTTTTTTGACATCTGTTTTGCCATTCTAACCATATTTCCAATTCCATCAGCGCATTTCATTTCTTTAGCAAACTCGTGTCTTTTTTCTTCTTGAGCCTTCGCTATTAATTTCTTAGCATTTCTTTTAGCCATCTTGTAAATATCATTATCACTATTTTCTTTGCTATTATACCATACTTTGAAACACCTCCGTTTCTCATCCACGGCTTTCGCTACCTCTGGGCTCCACCACCAAGTCTCCTTATGTCTAGGCGGCCCTTTTGTCCATCCACATACCTCCTCAGTTGTCATTACCCAAGCTTTCTTCATGGCTTCCCACTTGTCATTCACCCCAGATGCTTGTGCCACCTCCGCCTCCCTAATCGCCAATGCCATATTGAATTGACGTCTAGCATTCTCCTCCTTCAATTTCCAAACCTTCAGCCTTGGGACAAACTTTCTTTTAGTGACCCTGGCACCTTTAAGAGTGAGATCTCCTACAACTAGTCGATGCTGATTTATACATTCCTCTCCCGGTATCACTTTCACATTTTTTATTATACATCGATCACATCTCCTTAATAACAAGTAATCCACAACACTTTTGGTACTACCCGACTTATAAGTCACCAGCTTCTCTGATTCTTTCTTAAACATTGTATTACAAACAATCATATCCATAGCATCACTAAATTCTAAAATCCTCTCTCCTTCCAAATTTCTCATGCCATAACTGAACCCTCCATGTACTCCTTCATAACCCTCACTACTCGCTCCCACATGTCCATTCAGATCGCCAGCCAGGATAATCCCCTCTTCATTTGCCAGTCTCGATGTCACCCCCAATAGACTGTCCCAAAATACATCTTTCTCTTCTTCACTTCTTCCAACCTGAGGAACATATGCCGAGATCATATTATATAGCTTTCTACCAATAATCATCTTGATAACCATTATCTGGTTGTCTAGCCTTCTCACTTCGACTACTTTGTCTACCAATTTCTCCGCAACCAATACCCCAACTCCAGCCTTACCATCATTACCTCCTTGCCAAAAGAATTTATACTTTTCGCTAGTCTTGCCAATCATTCTGGTCCCATTTCCTTTCCATCTAGTCTCCTGTATGCAGCACACATCTATATGTCTTCTGTGCAATACATCGACGACTTCTCCCGCTCTTCCCGTCATACTCCCAACATTCCATGTCGCGACCCTAACTCGATCACCCGTAAACTGGTTTCTCCACTTTTTATTAGGTCGTTTATGGCCGTCATAGGTTTCATTTTCATGAATAGTGGTTCCACCAGGTTTCCCATCCTTCTTTTTGTCGTAGGCGGATGAGGAGGCCCACGGGGTACTTTGGGCTGTACCCCGCCCATGCTTTGTTGTAACCATAGGGAAATTTTTGTAGCATGGTTTTTACAATCGGATGCCCTTCCTGACATCAACCTCTTTAAGTGGTTTTTACACCCCGTCGAGGAGACGGTGATCCTATTCTAGACCCAGATCACAGGGAACCTTTTAGACCTCCATTTGCCGCCAAAAGACGTTGCCACTCCCCCGCCACGATGAGGCTGAAGGTAGGATTTTGAATATATGAAAAAAATAATAATAAACATTAAATAAATACATCATTAATCATGTCAAGAAATTCCAAAAAAAAAATAAGCTAAGAAATCTTACTTCCGCTAAAAAAAATGGCGCCCTAAAATTTTTAGATTCGATATTTTTTTTTATCTATTGCCATCTCCCAATTTTAAATTTTTTATATTCATTTTTATAAATTCTTATGTATTTTTTTAAAAAATAAAATAAAATCTATATATATATATATGTTAGTGTCTATAGAGAGATCTATAAAGTTAGGCCCAGCCCGCCCGAGAGCACTATTTTAAAATTTTAAAAAATTTGATTTTACCGGAAATGTAGTATGTCGTCATGCTTGGAATATAACCTACCCCATGAATTTCAGACAAATTTTTTCCATGAAACTTTTTAAAACTTAATATTAATTTATATTAAATATATTTTTTTATATTCATTTCATAAATTCTTATGTATTTTTTTTTAAAAAAAGTAAAATCTTATATATATATGTTAGTGTCTATAGAGAGATCTACAAAGCGCACTATTTTAAAATTTTAAAAAATTTGATTTTACCGGAAATGTAGTATGTCGTCATGCTTGGAATATAACCTACCCCATGAATAGTGTCTATAGAGAGATCTACAAAGCGCACTATTTTAAAATTTTAAAAAATTTGATTTTACCGGAAATGTAGTATGTCGTCATGCTTGGAATATAACCTACCCCATGAATTTCAGACAAATTTTTTCCATGAAACTTTTTAAAACTTAATATTAATTTATATTAAATATATTTTTTAATATTCATTTTATAAATTCTGATGTAATTTTTTTAAAAAAAAAAGTAAAATCTTATATATGTATGTTAGTGTCTATAGAGAGATCTACAAAGCGCACTATTTTAAAATTTAAAAAATTTGATTTTACCAGAAATGTATGTCATCATGCTTGGAATATAACCTACCCCATGAATTTCAGACAAATTTTTTCCATGAAACTTTTTAAAACTTAATATTAATTTAATCATAAAAATATTTATTTTTTTTTAATATAATTTATAAATGACTCAAAAGTTAAGGTCAAAATTGTCTAAAATTCCCTAAGATAGGTATTCCTAGTGTTGTTAAAGGGCTCGTTTTGAGCCGATATTTAAAAACGGCTGACTCAATAATTCATTCAGAAAAAATATTGCCTAACCCTGAAGATTTTGCTCATAGAAGGAACGAAAGTCTATACAAATTAGAAATCTTGTCTGGATCTTGGTTCCTTCTTACGAACAAAATTTTCATGCTTGGGTAATATTTGTCTGGATGAAGTATGGAGTTTTCCGTTTTTAAAAATCGGCTCGAAACGAGCCATTTAACAACACTACTATTTATAAGCTAATATAAGATTCTTATTATTTTAATTGGGAAATTTAAAAATGAATTGGAGAAATAAGATTAAATAAATGCATTGGTTGGGGAATCGTTGTTTTGGGTAATGTGGTATTACTTTGATTAGAAAAGCATATTTTATATGTAATATATATTTACCTCACGAACGCAGGAACGCTGCTTAATTAAACATAAATTCTTTAATCAATACAATGCTTCAATCATTTTTTTTTACTATTCTCTCTTCCGACAAATCATTTTTCCTAATGCAAAATTACTTAGCTTTATAATACTTTATAGCGCTATTCGTTTTTTTTTCATATATCAAAAATTTAATTAATTCTCTTCCACCCTTTATATTACAGCCTATTTTCTAGCTCCAACTTGGAATCTCTCAAGAATCGTGGACCTAACAATAACAGTATTAACTATACTTCCGATCCCCCAACATTCAGAGACTGGCATTACACTCAAAGACCGGCTTACCTGGGCCTGGCTCAAAGTCTCATGACCTTCTGCTTTTCCTTCAACGCTCTTCTCATGTCTTCCTCCTTCGTTTACCGTTTCAACCACGTTTGGCGACGTAACCCGCTCAAAAATCCTGTTTGGAGGGTAGTTTTCCCCGTGTTAACGCTAGCCCAGCTCATTTATAATACCCTGGACATCTTCCTTTTGAGTTCCAGAAGGAAGGGGAATTATGTTCGAACCGGAAGGATCGATCACAAGACTAAATCATTTTTCGACTTTTTAGCATCTGTCCCTCCGTACACGTGGGCCCTGATAACGTTGGGACCCTTGGTTTGTTATTTTTTATTCGAATTGGTGAAGAAGCGAGAAATCAAACATTGGACCAAAGAACAAAAACGAATCAAACTCAATTTCGGAACTAAACTGGGCATGCATTCGCCATTTTAATTTCGGCGTTTTAGTGTGAAAGAGGCGGGGGTTAGCGGATCGCTAATAATTTTTGATCTCACCGCTTAATCTCTTATATAACACATTGTACACAATGCAAACTCGAATTTATTTTGTCTTTCGATTTATTATATGTATTTTGAATGTAGTATTAATTCTTTCATATGTTGTAGAACATTTAAAATAAAAATTCGTAATTCTTGTTGTCCTGGTCTAATATTATTAATGATCTATAACATCTTTTCTGGGGATCGGTTCTAAATTGCTAAAGGGAATCTAGCTTTTATATCTCGCTGTAGTAATGTAGAAATATATTGTAATATACTATTTATACATTATGAGTCAATTAGATATGGTCATACTAATTAATTATATGTATATTTTCATGATTTAATATAATATTGGGTGAGGTTAATTACCTAACACCCATATCATCTATTATAATGTGATATCCGGATCAATATTATGTATTTTATATCCTGTCTTTATTTGTAGGTGTTAGTTATATGGATAAATAAATATTATGATTGCAAATTATTTTATTTATAATAAATACTCACCTTTAAAATTTTGGAAGTAAAAAGTTGTATTTAGATTGAGTTTTTTTATTCAAAGATCTCTAAAAAGAACTAATAACATCAAGATTCCCCGAATTATGGAATTTCTTTTGGAAATCTTGATAATATGTCTCCCATATTTTAGCTAATTTCTTAAAAAAGGGAGTCTAATATCCCTATTATCTAATATTTTCAATATTTCTTTAAAAATTTTTCTATAAAAATATTTAAGCGGAGAATCCTTATTTTTTAGCGATTCAGAAAGTGGAACCTTAATTTATTTATTTAAAATAAAACATATATAGTTAAAATGGAAATTTATTGTATTTGAACTTTATTAATGATGTATATATTTGATGCGAAGGCTCTCTAAATTTAACCCTTAGTTCACTTAAAACACCAATAGTAAGACCATAAAACTTATAAGATATCTGTTTACAGTTCTTGTTCGGTTATGGGTTGGGCTGATAAGCGGAATATTTATTTAAAATATTTTCTCGGGATAAATGATTTACTTGGCATTAACAAAAAAAAATAAATAATTTCTGGC